ACGTTACACATGTTTATGTCGTTAGCTTCATGCATGATTTATATTTTAAAACTATATGGAAGCTGCAGTGTCTGTGTGAAGACATTATAGTTAAATGGACACATTAATACTCCCTGTTCCAGGTGAAGGTGTGTGTATGTAGTGAGGAAAAGATAAGGATTTACATGGGATGTGGTCTTCCCCTCTCCAGCTCCACACTCTCTACATTAAAACACACTCACAGTCATGTTCCACGTGTCAGGCTGCTGCTGAAGTTTATAGAGGCATCCATCAGTCTGCCATCGCAGGCCCAGCCAACGCTGCAGCAGATATTAATTACCCTGAGCTGAGATCCATCTCTCCACAGCTCTGTCCCCTTCTCCATGCTTGTCCAATCACATTTCTCACAGCCCATTATAAAAGACAAGGTGATACGCTGATTACCAAGGGGAGGATCACAAATTGAAATATCTTCTGTGTCTCCAATATGTCCAGTCTTCAGGAAATCTGCTCGTTGCACTTTTTCTCATTAGTGGAACTAAATCTGTTCCATCAAATTACAAACCAAATAAATTCAGCTAACCCCACTCATCTGATCTGTTTTTATATGCTTATTGCTGGTGTAACCCAGGGTATTTTCTGTAGCTTCAGTTATAGATTTCCCTAAATGCCACTTATGCAGATAATCGGTAAACCCTGTAAATTACTGATGTTCCCTGAATGCATCACAGGCAGGTCAGCTAGAGGGCTGCCTGCGGAGAAGTATCCGGTAGTGGTGTGCGATACTGCATATTTTGGTATCGATCCGATACCAAGTAAATACGGGCCAGTATCGCCGATACCGATACTGATACTTTTCAATAAATAAGGTGGATGCGTCATTGAATTGCTAAATCTCAATTAATTTTGTTTTTCGTGATGTTTCCTTTTTTATTATTAAATAGTTAAAACCCAGGACAGAATTAGAATAGAAAATGCTTTATTATCAAATTTTTTTCAGAAAAATCTTAAATAAATAAATAATGTTTTCTTTTGGATGGTTTTTTATATGTTTATATAAATTGGTAGTGTTTCCACTATACCTGACTAGCTTTTTACAAATCCCACATTTTGCTGTTGTCTCGTTTCGGCTTGAAAATACAGCCACACGGCGCTCCTCTTCCTCTCTGCCATTCTTCTGTTGTATTTTCTCTGTGCGTGTGCTGATGAACCTGAGCCGGCAATTTGCTTGTTTGTTTGCTTTGCGCGTGTAAGTCACGTCACGTGACTCACATGACGGCGCAACATCTAAACACAAGAGGGGGGGGGGGAGCAAAGTGTGCCTGCTCTGCGCTGACACAGGAGCGGCGAGTCCGGCGACCTGGCTGTTTCCTTTTGCAGAAACCGCAGCATTGCAAACAAGAGCGGAACTTAAAGTAAAGAATCGATCTCACCAGGCTGGTATCGATCCGATACCGATACCGACTTGGTATCGATACTATCGATATTTGGATCGATCCGCCCACCACTAGTATCCAATCTTCCCTCAATGATGCAGCGTACGCAACGCAGGCATGGCTGTCTTTGTTGGAAAGAGTGAAATAAGTTTTTTAAAGTAAGATTCAGATAAGTTAAAACTGAACGGGTGTATCGCCAGAGAGAAAGAAAACTAAAGCTGCAGGGTCGCTGTGGAAAGAGGAGCGCATGAGAAACTCTGGCAGGTCATTTTTTGTTCTTGAAGCCAAGAGAGACTGAAAATTAAAGGGGAAAAACTAAAACGGACAATTGAACTGATAACTGAAACATAAGTGTATTTTGGTCCACTTGTGGATACATTTAAGTTGTGTATGAAGCACTGAGAATTGAATATTCCTTTATTTTCCAACCACTACGAATTTTGGTGAACTATTAATTTGTGTTTATCCTATCTTTATGGTATTTTGAGTTAAAGATTTGAGTCAAACAATCTTGTTCTTTTGAAGAGGTACTTGAATGTATATGAAGAAGGTATTTGAGAAGTGATATGCCATGATATGGCATTTTAATAATTACATTCTCCATCTTTTTCTACTAAGTCAGTGGTTGTGTGGGTTGGAGGCCTTATGCCTCTCCTCGTAGAGTCTTTTACTGCCAATCTCCTTACTGAACCTAGTGAATAGTGAACGTAGAACCTGAGTAAGCCTGTAATCATATTGAACTGTGAGGTCTTTGGGCTGAGGTATTTCAGAGAACCCCAGATTTAAATATTGTAGATACTTAAGCCAAGATCAGCAGTATAGGAACCCTACTAAAGGGGAAGGTGACGTGCAGGTTACACTGGCAACAATTACAATATGGAAAGTGGTCCAGGTTAAAGTGTTTTATAACAATGGATATAATGAAGTGCAGAGGGACATCTACTGTAGCATCAGACAAAACGGAAACAAACACTTCATAATCTGAAGGTCCATGTGAAGATGAAGCCCTCTTTGTATGAAATACATTATTCTGAGCCAATATCACTCAGTGTTGACCATGAAGTTATAGACGGTGAACAGCCCAGGGTCGCTTCTGCCTATGTGGTGCCCAAGGCCAGACATCCTCTGACACGCCTGAGAGGACCGATCTGCCCACAGCCACATCATTTAATGATACTTATTATTGTTGTTTTTTTTGTTTTTTTTTTATATCCTAGGTTGTTGATGGGTACATTAACATGTACATCATTGTCCCTGCTCTGACAGTGTTATCATGGTGCTATGCACATATTTGGGATATGACATGGAACATAGGAAACCTGAATATTCATATATTACAGGAATCACCAGTCTCTGACTTTCACTTGATGACCTGATCTACACATGATGAAATGCAGTAGCAGAACCATAATTAGTTATACTTGAATTTCATTCAGGGTGTTTATGATCACAGCTTTTAGCATTACATCTTTTCTTTAACAGGTGACTGACCAGTGCTTAAGGCAAATATGCACCATATCTAGGTTATTGTCTTACCCTAACCCTGTTTTCATTCCCATACAGAAATGTCATATATGACATATATGTCCCTATATCAGGAGTGATATTGCCATATATGTCACCTGTAAAGAGATATATTATCACATATATTCATCCTCTCCATATATGAAGATGTAAGTTCATAACGTATATGAAATACTCTTAGTAAAATCTGTATATGTACATATGTTAAAAAATATGAAGATTTTTTTATTGTATGATTGCATCTATGTTAACAATATACTGTATATATAATTCATATGTGGTTTATTAAAACAACATACCAACAACAAAACTGTATATGCTTATATATGTTTTTCTTATTAATTGTGTATATGTATGTATGTGTGTGTGTGTGTGTGTGTGTGTGTGTGTGTGTGTGTGTGTGTGTGTGTATATGTATGTGTGTTTGTATGTGTGTGTGTATATATATCTAGATATATATATCTAGATATATATATAGATATCTATATATATATAGATATATATATCTATATATATATAACATTTGCGTATGGGTCATATTTGAAATATGATGTGGGTGTTGGTAAGCAGAAGGATAAGGGACGATCATTGTCCTTCATGAAGCAGCCCCCTTATACAGTGTCTCCACTGGATCTGCAGACTGCTCAGCACCAAGTGCATGTTGTAGTGCAAGCATTGGGTTTATTTAATAGTGAATTGTTCATGGATGGATAGATGAAAATGTCTTTTAACAATACAACGGAGTCACAGAAATAGAACAAGGTGTTCATCTATAAATCAATAAATATGGAAAACCATGTCCCATAAAATTATCCTGAATAATGTTTACTAAAATGCAAAGGGGAGAAGTGAAGGAGAAAAGTGCACCTGACAGGGTGATGTATTCTAACTCTTTATCACCTTCTGTCCCCATCTATGCATCACCCTGTATGATCTGCACTGACCCCTCACTGTCGTCTTTCAGCCCGACCACACACCGATGTTCACACATCCAGCAGAGATGGGCTGATTTATCTCACGTCAGCGCCGCTGTTTTGACGGTCGCTTTCATTTCCCAGCTGATGAAAGTGCCATAGTAATACGGTGGAATGAATGTTTTGTCCACCAGCTTCCACCATCAACTCAAATCGATGGGGCATGTAATTGGTGGCCACTTTGTGTGATTGCTAAGATAAACAGACATTGTTGCGGACACGGAAGATCAATGTCACGCACAAAACAAGCGAGGAGGGGGGCGCGGTTTATGGGCCATCATATTCACCAACAACAAACAGTAACTATATCCACCCACAGGGTTTATGCTGCCAGACACTATTGTACTTACAATTTGATCAGATTTAATATTTTGCTCTGCATAGTTTTAATCTCGGCAAAGGCCAGCTGGATCTAGTGCTCACAGAACAAGCTTGAACATGTTCATCTGAGTAGTGAGCTTGTTTCCTGTCATCTTTCAGCCTACTTGCTAACTCAGCAGGACAACAGATGCCTCACGCTGTGCAGGTAGTTTAAGAGATGCTCTTTCACGCAATTCTCTTTTTGGGATTGTGGAATAAAAGAAAACAGGGACATACATGCACTCAGTAAATAGAATGAAATAGAGGTTTATAATGGACATTGTGGGAAATGATAATCCTACACATCATATGATTTTATGATCACGTTTTAATATAACTGCAGTAGTGTATACTTTCAGTAAGCTGACCACTCTGACCGAGCTCTGCATAAGAGTGAGACCTTATTACTCCTTTTTGAACTAAAGTGAGCATGACAGATTAAGGCAGAGACAGTTCTTCATATCTCTTCCTCAGTTGCAACCTGATGAGAGGTGACGCAGAAGAATCTCTGCTTGCTGGCATTTCTGTAAATAAAGGTTTTCTCACGACCCAAATTAATGTACCCATTTGTTCCTTTGGCTGGCACCACCGAAAGCAACCACCACTGAGAACAAATACTGATGTTAAATTGATGTTCATGCAGTTTCAGTCCGGTGTGAGCAACACTATAATCTTCACTAATCATCGGTATAATCTGACAGTAGTTTTTAGCATGGCATCGGCTCACCTTGGTAATGCAGCAGGAGGAATCCGGAGTTGTGCTGTTGGTCACTACGAAAACGGATGGAGATCTGGTTGCTCCAGCTGCGTAGAACAAGGCCTCTCACCAAGACTGACTCGTTGGCCAGGATGAGGGGTTCTTGGCCCCCAGTGTCCTCCACTGTCACCTGCTCCCCCTCCAACACGCTCACATTTAGCACCTACAATGAAAAGAGACCATGCCACATGATTCCACACAGGCCTTTTATTGCTGTACCTCTGTGCATCATGTGTGATGTCATGCTAGCAACCAGTTCAGACTGAGGTACGGTTTGCAAACACATTACACAGAGAATCATTATCTAACTGTCAGAGCGTGTTTAGCACTGCAAGAACGAGCAAATTTATTTCTATCCACACTTTGAAAACACAAATAGGTGAAATTCATTGACTTAAAACTCCAACATAAAAAGATCTCATTGCACACAGCTGTTGATTTGATGTTTCATTTCACACCAGATGGAATCTTATGGTTTAGTCTGATAATGTTGCCCTGGAAAAATGGGTTACCTGCTGTGTCCTTTAATCAGTCGCCTACCAACACAGTCGCACTTGGATTTGGTGGAGTTGGTTTGGTTCAGTCATTTCTTTGTTAACCTGCTCCTGGATTGTAGATGTTTTCAGTGTAGTGTAATTGTATATGCATTCTGGGTTATTAACTCTCGGTTTGTTGCATGATTGATTCGTCTTTCTGTGTTCTCCTTGTGCCTCTAAGCTACTGCCAGTGCTATATATCTTCAACAGGTTTGAGCAGCATCTGCAGCTAAATCTGGTGAAGGAACCTCAGGAGGATTTCATGTAGTTAAAGTGTCTGGATAATGGAGTGCTGACACATTTTGGAGCAACATCAGATTTATTCCCCACAGAACCATAAAAGAGGTATGTTAATCCAACAGCAGGTCATGATTATTATTCTTTTGTTTTTTATCATAAAGCTTTCACCTTCACTTGTTTTTGTAAGATTTGAACAGCATTAGTCACTTTTATTAAATCTAATCCAAGAGTGAATCTTCTTATCAATTCCAAATCCTTTGATTTCAATTTTTTTTTTGGGTGGGGGGTTAATTGCGGGATAACAAAGAAGCTTTCAGTAAATCTGTATAACACATGCAAGATAACTTTTAGAGCAAAGATTGACATTAAAATAACTGTTTTCAAAATTTGATTCTGTTTGCAAAATGAGAAGCTTAAAGTTTTGTACATTCATCTGTGCTAATAAAAAAAGAGAGAGAGAGAGGAGATAAACCAATATAAAATAAAGCTACAAGCCCCAATGACTCTTGCAGCCAGATCCAAAATGGACGCTGCTTCTGTCCTTAAAAAACAAATACACCATCAAAGCTCATTCAACCACATCTGCTTCAGCCAGCGGTGTAATTCATGTTGCGTTCTAAGAGCTGATGCTGTCATAGGTAGCGGGCTCACATCTCAGGTATGCCATGAGGCAGAAAAAGGGGCTGCCCTCCATAGGCTGATGTCCCCAAGGAAGTGTGTGTGCAAGGATTGTTAGTGCAGCAGCCTGGAGAAGCTGAAACAGTGGACACACAACATAAGAGCACATCGCACATAACGTTGGCAGCAGAATGAATTTGGTCACGTTGACTGTCACTCGGTCGGAGGGGAGGCTGACAATGAGCACGGAGAGGCTAATGGACACTGATGCTGAGCTTGGAGGTGACTTCCTGCAGAATGATCCACGAGGTCAGACCCTGTGATTGATTTGATTTTTATCTCGACCAGAATTAAACACAACGTCACGCTGTGGGTTTCAGACCAACTCAGAACACGGACGAGACGGCACATATTCCTGTTGTGTATATACTAAATCTGCATATTACCATTGCAGCGTAGGTAGTTCAGCCTCAAACAGCAGTGTCACAGTGAGTAATAAAGGAATGTCACATTATTTTAGAATCCCTGTTTCTCAGTCTCTCAAGGGCAATGACAATGACAAAGCCTGAGGCAGAGCTGCTTTTTTTCACTTCTGCCTTTTTGTCTCTGAGTTAATGTGGAGGGCTTAGATGTTTTGCAAATCAGGTTACTTCAGTTACTTGCTCATATTCTAACTTCAAATTTCACCCAACAGTACAGCACAGTAATTCTCCCTCAATTTAATATCCATACTCATCTATTCAAGGAATGCGGAACTGCGATTTCACTAACCATGGGTTTAAACTGATTGTCTGACAAATTTAGACCGTGGAAACTCAACTCTAAAGTACATCCATAACTGATTATATAGTGGTTGATTGATCCTAAACTTGAATTACTTTAAAAGAACGGGACATTTCGGAAGGTTTTAGACCGAAGCAAGGTCGAGTATAGATTAAAACACACCTGAGCCTATAAATTCCTTCTGGCTCTCAACTTCCATTTGAAATGATCTTCCTGGGATGTGTTTCTATGGCCTGATGTAAAACTGGTGAGTGAAGGAGAGATGGCTGATATTCCACCATGCTTCATACATATTTTAGTCAACCATCCCTCCAAAAAACATCAGGGAGCAAAGCAAGATGGCATGCTTGATAAAACACTGTAAAAAAGCTTGTGTATTCGTAGTGTAGTGTGAAAGGCTAGTGTAGAACACTACAATGATTTTATGGTGAACATTAAATATGACTTTTCTCTCACAACAAAGCAGTGGTTGCTGTTGTTCTGGTGTTAACCTGAATGCAGTTTACAGAAAGAAAATATAATACTGAACCGTGTGAGACAATCCAACACAAGTTTTAAAACAGCAGAATTTAATCTGTTAATCTTTATTCAGTGAACACCTGATTGCACAGGTGTTTATTGTGTTGGGACCACGTCAGTATCGTATGCTGTCTGCTTGACCTCACTGAATATGTTGTTCCAGTCACAGAGTGTGGGTCTGTGTCCACTTGGTTTACATATAGCATGGAGGCTTGTGAAGGACAGGTGAGCAGATAGTGGACAGTGAACATTTGGGCTGATAGATAGCTTGGCCCCAGAGGGCCCTATCATCTGTCATCCACCCTGGGACCTGTCAGTGCAGCCAGCTACAGCTGTCCTGCCTCAATTATGAATCATTGGCCATGTCAGGAGACATCAGACTACCTTATCTTCACCACTGCTGCAGCCAAATGCCCAGAGGGACTTCTTTCTCACCGTCTCTGTCTCTCTCTCTCACACACACACTCTCACACGTATATGCGTGTGTGTGTGTGTGTTTGCGCATGCATGTACACGCACATGCGTGTTCCTCTGGACTGTAATGAGAGCAGGCTTATTGTAACTCTGAGCTGGAATCTCTGCCTCAGCAGACACTTTTGTGGGACTGGAGATTTGGCTGACGAAGCACACTTCTGCACCAACCACAACATTATCAGAGGATAACATCTATACAGTGTTGTTGCATTTTCAGAATTGTGTTGAGACAAGAAAGAATGTCTGTTTAGTGTTTTTCATCCAGCGTCTGACAAAGGTCTAAACAATGCAAGAGATACATGGTTTCCTCTGTAGGTGCTCTGTCACTGCAAGCATTTCTTTTTTTCACCAACGACTGTTCCAGTCCAATCACAACGAGAGGAGAGGGTCATCGCTCTCCTCTAGCCACTGTCTTTTCAATCAAACCACTTTAATGAACAGACCATCCTGCAAGCCCACAGTACAACTGACAGTCCTAGAGCTGCACTTAGTATAACAAAAGATGGACGAGCCCCTCTAAAATAAAGGTTTCTAAGGACAACAATAATTGCAGTATTGAATACCTTGATCTTTCCGTGCTTGCCTTGACCTTTGTAAAACAGGGAGCCTCCAGTGAGCTGCAGTGTTTAACTATGAGAGTGAACAATGAGCAGAGGTGGGGATCCATCTTATCACATCCAAACAGAAAGCAGCCTGGCATGGTTTAATCTGTGACTAGAGTCGTTGCTGGTATCATACAATTAATCCCACATGAGATAAACCAAATAGTCTGCATCATGCAATTAGGAAGTTACTCCCAAAATAAAATCCAAGAAAAATACAATTTGGACAAGAAAAAAATTCTGATGATTTGAAACAAACAAACCATTTTTACACTTGACATGTAATCTTTATTCACTCATTAATTTATCCATAAGTAGACAGTGCGAGTTAACTATCCACAGAGGCTGCTTCTCACTGATAATTTACTGTTGAAAACATCTGCTGGTGCTCTGCAATGAACATTTACACTGACTCACAGGAGCCATTGCTGGTGCAGAAATGAGCAGTATGTAATCAAATGCTCCCAGTATAGATGGAAATTAAATGACCCTGCTGCTGGGGGAAGTAAATCAACAGCCATTGGACTCACCAGCTGCAGTGTCATCCTTACTATGATAAAAAAGCCACCGGCTCATACAGTGGAGCACAGTGGTGCTGTGTCTACCTCATCGCCCCTATCTGAGGCTCACATTTGAGCAGTCTTGGTACACCAAATCCATTTGGTGTTTTTGTGTATCTCCTGATAAATTCATACAAAACCAGAGGTCGTTGACTGCTCATTATATGAAAACTGTTATCTTAATTGAACATTCACCTCTATATAAAACAGCCAAGGCCGTTTCCTGCTTGGCCTGCTGTCTAAAACAATGGATCGTTACTAATCAGCAAAAGCTGCATGTTAATGAGAATGTGCCGGAGCCAGTGGCTGAATACAATACTCACTTGCTAACTGTCACATTTAATGTTCTCGAGATCGCCAAAGGCCACCACCATACAGTGACCATCTCCTTTCCTCCTTCACCTTCCAGATGCTCAGAGTAAAGCAGATGCTGACCTCTGCATTTCAAACATTTCATGAGATGAGATTCTTGCTTTCTGATAAATCAGCCTCACTTTTCTTCTCCTTGTTGGGACTCATCATTCAAGAGACCAGATGTTTCTTTGCTCCAGTGGACAAAGGAACTCACACCCCACAGTTGCTCACTGTTCACACCTGGGGACGACCCTTCCCCCAACGGACCTTACTGGCCAGCCAGTGTGGGTCAGCGTGTGACATGTGACCCCCAAGGGTGTTACCAAACAAAACCAGATCTCCTTCCTCTCTTCTCTCTCTTCTCGGTTTGCTCTGGAGAGCAGCTCCTGCTCTCTCCTCTCGGCTCTTCAAAGGGCAACAAGGCCCCAGCCCAGGTCAGCTCTGCTACCTGAGAAACCAGTTCTCCCTCCGGCCTGC